TCCTTTCACTTATACAGGTTTTCTTTCTTCCAACAATGCTATGTTGCTTTCAGAAGTTTAACTCTCCCTTTGTTAAATTTATTCCTAAGTATTTTATTTTTCTAATGCTCTTGTAAATAGAATTGTTTTTTAAATGTCAGATTACTCATTGTTAGCATATAGAAATCTGTATTAGAGTTCTTCAGAGAAACTGAACCAATAGGATATATATACCTTATATCTTATTATATATACCTGATAATATATCTATTAGTATTATTTCCTGATATATGTGTATGTGTGTATATATACATATATATATATACACACACGTATGTATTGATACAGAACAAATAGACAATATCTATCTATAAAGAGAATATAAAGAATTGGCTTATGTGATTATGGAGGCTAGGAAGACTGTTCTATGTCTCCTTCTATTCCTTCTATTCTATTCCACTGGTCCACTGTATATTCAAGTGGCAGTATCACACTGTTTTAATTATAGAGCCTTTATAATATGTTTCAGTGTCTAGAAGGGCTAGTTCCCTGCTGTGGTCTTTTGTTTTTTCAGCGATTTCCTAGCTATTCTTCAATGCTTCTTTTTCCACACACATTTTAGCTAAGTTGATTTACTGACATAAAACTTACTAAACTTTCACATAGACTTGCTATATTTTCTCTAAATTTCCAACAATTTCAAAGTTTATTTTCTTTATCCACCGAATAATTAACTTTCTCACCTTTTCATCAGATTACTGAGCCTTTCTCCACGCCTAGTTATTCCCTTGAGCTACTATCCTCTCTCCTCCCAATCCAGGTCACATGCCCTGCAAGAGAAAAAAATTCTTGGTGTCTCCACTTCCTCAAGTCTTCAGTTTCTGAAGGAACAGAACTTTTTAAAAAATTTCATTTTATTTTTTTGGCCAGGCGGCATGTGGGGTCTCAGTTCCCCCACCAGGGATGAACCCGCACCCCCTGCTTTGGAAGCGCTGTCTTAACCACCGGACCGCCAGGGAAGTCCCGAAACAGAACTTTTATAGTAGGAGCAAGTTCCAGTTATTCTACAGTGAAAATATTGTTGCACCTTGAGCCTGTAATGAACTTTCAGTCCTGAGTTCTCCAGAGGTGAACAGAAGAGACATGCTGATAGTAAGAGAAAATCACTTGCTTCATCAAGCATTTGTCCCGCCCATCGGCAGTAAACCAGCTCCCTCCCAGCTACTGGAAAAGAAAAAGAGGAAGGCGTTATTACAGACAAAAAAAGTCATCTTCTCTTTAGCTAACAGGTCTGTGTATCATGTAAATTTCTCTATTCGTCCTGCCTTTGCCTTTTCAGGCCCCAGATAGCCCCAGTACTACACGACACGTGGCACCCAGGGAATCCTGAGTCTTTATAGAACTCCTTCCAGTAGTACCGCCGGCCCAGGGAGGTCAGGCGTGCAGATTTGTCACGGCTGCCCTCTACTTGCTGGGGGAGGGGCGTACATTGACCGCGAAGGCTGCACGTAGTTCGGGTACCAAGGGCGGGAGGCGTGGTGCGCCCGGCGACCCGGAAGCTGGGGGCAGGCGGACCCAGCGGCCTGCGGACGGGACCCGGATCGCACCCGCGAGATGGCGGCGGCGGCCGTGAGCAGCGCCAAGCGGAGCCTGCGGGCCGAGCTGAAGCGGCGCCTGCGGGCGCTGAGCGCCGAGGAGCGGCTGCGCCAGTCCCGCCTCTTGGCCCAGAAGGTGGGAAAACGCAACAGCCACCGTAACGCCGGGCCCGGCCGCCTCCAGGCCTGCGGATCTGCACAGGCGCAGGCGCAGGCGCGCGCACGTCCGCCCGGCGCGCGCACGTCCGCTGAGGGCGCGCAGTGTTCCCCTCAGCGCGCGCAAGTCCTGTTATGGGTGTTGGAACGCTGTTGGGCTCAGTCTCCGGGGGTGATCACGCCGTGGAGAGTTATGGGGTTTGTGAGGGAGAGGATGGAAGTGGGTGACAGACTGCTGAGGTAAGAGCAGCGTGAGAGCAGAAAGATCTAGAGGGGAAGACGGGCGGACACCTGAGCGCCAGTGTACCTTCAGTGAGTCTTAGAGTCTTAATGAATTACAGGGGACTTCCCCGCGGCGGTCCGGTGGTTAGGACTCAGCGCTCCCACTGCAGGGGGCGCGGGTTGGCTCCCTGGTCGGGGAACTAAGATCGCACATGCCACGCAGCGCGACCAAAAAAAAAAAAAAAGAGTCCAGTCATAGTAAACTGAACAGAGAAAGATGCAATTCCTTTAGACCAGGGAGCCCAAAATGGGGTGCAGAGATGCTCAAGGATGGAAGCCCTTCACTGAGCCTGTGGAGGGCAGAGCCCTGTCTCTGTAGCTTCAGGGCCTAGCCTTCTCCTATCACTCAGTAGGTGAACATTAAATGCTTTTTTGAATTAATGAAAGAACTGATTCTCATACTTAGTCTGCCCAAGAAGATAGGAAGCAGAAGAGAGAAATTAGGGGAATGAGTCCAGTTTCGTGCCTGTTGGTTATAACACCTCGATTTTGTTACTTTCTTAGACTGACTTGTTATATACTACCTTGTAGTATAATACAAGTTCATGTAATGCCAGTTTTCGTATCAGTAAAATGGCGGACAGATCCTGTCCTGAAGGCATGTGCTAAAGATGTCTGGGAGATTGGTTTTTGTTGGACGCCCGAAGGAAAAAAAATTGATGTCCCGTGAATAAGTAAATGTTAGTAATTCTAAGTCAAACTAATGATCCGTCTTCCCCAGCATCCTGTCTCTGACATAGATACCAATGTTATATTCGGAAATTAGCATGGGAGTTCTTTTTCTTGATGTCCCTTGAAATTAGATACGCTGTAAGAATTTCTTAATTATCCTTCGCTTGTCTATCATCCATTAGTTTCTCAAATTTAAGGTTCCTATGGGTTAAAGCAAATACAAGCATTTCATTCCCTCTTCATATACATAGGTCTGCAGGAGGGGATCTATGCAGATGTTAGCTTATTTATTCAAACTCAGTATTTTTAGCTATATGAGGAAGGCATTAGTTGCTTTAGTAGATGTAGAGCAGTATAGGATCTTATCCTTACTCTCTAGGTGCTTAAAATTTAGCTAATTAATTCACACATATTGAGCTCATACTGTGGGCCATACTTTGCTATGTAGTGGGTTGTAGGAATGAAAAAGATAGGCTTGTTGGACTTCCCTCGTGGTCCAGTGGTTAAGACTCTGCGCTCCCAATGCAGGGGGCCCGGGTTCGATCACTGGTCAGGGAACTAGATCCTGCATACTGCAACTAAGAGCCCCTATGCCACAACTAGAAGATCCCACGTGCTGCAACTAAAGACCCAGCGCAGCCAAATAAATAAATATTAGGGTAGGATTGTTACTCTGAAGAAGCAGAGAGTCTTCAAGAGGAAACAGACATGTGAATAAAGAATTGCAGTGCTTTGAGATATACGGTAAAGGTAAACACCAAAGCTGTAGAAACCTAGCTTAGGGGAGGGGGAATCAGAAGGCTTGCTTTCTATAGGGAGAAGTTTTGAGAAATATTTTGTATTACAAGATGAATTTTGTCTGTCAGGTGAAGGGAAGATAGGGTGGGTGAACATGTGCAGGAATATTTTGGCAAGAGAAGGAAAGACAATTTAACATGGGTTTTGGAACTCTTTAGGTCTGGATTTAATCTGGCTCCACTGTGTTTTATCTGCATATGGCCTTGGATAAGTCCTCTAATCTTTCTGAGCCTCTGATTCCTTATCTGTAAAAGGATAATGTCATCCTTGAAGACCTATTGTGAAGGTTAAAGAAGTGTGTTAAGGGATGCATTGAGTGCTTTACATATTTTTGATACATCCTTCAGGAAGAGAATATTGGCAGCATTTTTGGAAAATGGGTTGGGGGTGGAAGAATGAGAAAAAAAATACATGGAGACCAGTAAGGGGCTGTTGTGATAATTTGGGTGAGAGGTAATAAAGATGTAAACAAGGGCATGGGCAGTGAAGGTGAGGGGAAAAAGCAGGTAAATGGGAGACTATGTAGTGAGAATCAGCGGGACTTGGCAATTAACTGGATGGAGATTAGAGAGTACTGGAAAAGGGGAGTCACCTATGATTCCAAACTTTAGAGCTGCGGATAAAGGGTTTTGAACATTACTAGGCACAAGGAAGGTAAGAGTTGGAGCAGATTTTGGAGGGGCATGGGGACAATGAAGATGAGTTCAGTTTGGTTTGTCTATAGTAGATTAGAATTAAAAAATACTCCAGGTGGGAATAGTAGCCATATAGAGACAGAACCACTGATATCAGTAGATTGACACCTGAGAGCTGGCATCAGAGAGAGAAAAATTCAAAAGCAGACCCATGACTCCCAGTAATAAACACATTTTACTCCATACAAATAAATGTACTCATATAAGAAATCTGTTTCACAACCAGGTGTTTGACAACTCTTACTATATACAACGAACTTTAATATTTTCTATTTCATTTGCTGATTGTAACCCACTGTTGACTTCATGACCAACCAATTGGTCAACCAATGGATCAAGGCCCAAAATATCAACATACTGGGACTAGAACAATGTTTTGCCATAGTGTATGTTCAATACAGTAAAGGTATTAAATGATGCCTTTCTCCCAATAATTTAAAAAAAGGCAAATTTATTCTTATTGACACAGCACTTTTTAAAATAATTTAGAAGTTTATCAGAAAAGTAATGTATGGTAAAGAAATTATACTTTATGCCATATCTTGACTCCTCAACAAATAAGTTGAGGAAATTAGTGCCAAGTACTCATTTTGTTTTCCAGTCTATCTGCAAATTTGTGACACCTGTATCATATTTACATTGCCAAGTTTTTATAATATTTGTGCTCTGTTCTGTAACTGTAATGAGTCTACTGAGCATTTTCTGTGCCTGATTTCCAAACTTGAAATTCAAGTAAATAGTATTTACAGTATTGTGGTTATATATATAGTGTTCACTACAGAACCAAATTGTATCATTGAACGTGTAAGAAAAGGATGTACAACTCAATGTCACTAGATGTGTGTGGCTAGGAGGGGAATATTTCAAGTGTTAATATCAAATACTTTCTTTTTTCTTATGCTTTATAATTGCTCGAAATTATGGCATTCTTAATTTTCCTATTTGGAGTATAAATTTCTAATTTAGCTCTCTGTTCAAGTTTCCGATTGCCTTTGTTTTTCCTTTTTGGCAAAATAAGAATATGCCTTATCAATAGATTCTTTTTCATTTTGTTTGTTAAAATAAATCCACTTTCTTCTTGAAAGCACTCTAGTCCACTGCTCCTTCTGGTCTGGTCGACTTTGAGTCTGTGCTATAGCCATTGCCCTGGGGTTCCTCTTTCTCTGCTTTTAAATTAGGGCTGTTTCTTGAATCCAGTATCTTCTCTCTTAGACCTCTTCCTTCCTTCTTCTTTTTCTTTATTATCTTTGTTTATTTTTGGCTGCGTTGGGTCTTCGTTGCTGTGTGCAGGCTTTATCTTGTTGCAGTGAGCGGGGGCTACTCTTTGTTGGGGTGCGCGGGCTTCTCATTGCGGGGGCTTCTCTTGTTTCAGAGCACGGGCTCTAGGTGCGTGGGCTTCAGTAGTTGTGGCATGTGGGCTCAATAGTTGTGGCTCGCAGGCTCTAGAGCGCAGGCTTGGTAGTTGTGGCACGCAGGCTCAGTAGTTGTGGCTTGCGGGCTCTAGAGCGCAGGCTCAGTAGTTGTGCACATGGGCTTAGTTGCTCGGTGGCATGTGGGATCATCCTGGACCAGGGCTCGAACCTGTGTCCCCTGCATTGGCAGGCGGATTCTTTTTTTTTTTTTTTTAAACATCTTTATTGGAGTATAACTGCTTTACAATGGTGTGTTAGTTTCTGCTTTATAACAAAGTGAATCAGTTATACATATGTTCCCATATCTCTTCCCTCTTGCATCTCTCTCCCTCCCACCCTCCCTATCCCACCCCTCCAGGTGGTCACAAAGCACCGAGCTGATCTCCCTGTGCTATGCAGCTGCTTCCCACTAGCGATCTACCTTACGTTTGGTAGTGTATATATGTCCATGCCGCTTTCTCGCTTTGTCACAGCTCACCCTTCCCCCTCCCCATATCCTCAAGTCCGTTCTCTAGTAGGTCTGTGTCTTTATTCCTGTCTTACCCCTAGGTTCTTCATGACATTTTTTTTTCTTAAATTCCATATATATGTGTTAGCATACGGTATTTGTCTTTCTCTTTCTGACTTACTTCACTCTGTATGACAGACTCTAGGTCTATCCACCTCATTACAAATAGCTCAATTTTGTTTCTTTTTATGGCTGAGTAATATTCCATTGTATATATGTGCCACATCTTCTTTATCCATTCATCCGATGATGGGCACTTACGTTGTTTCCATCTCTGGGCTATTGTAAATAGAGCTGCAATGAACATTTTGGTACATGACTCTTTTTGAATTATGGTTTTCTCAGGGTATATGCCCAGTAGTGGGATTGCTGGGTAATATGGTAGTTCTATTTGTAGTTTTTTAAGGAACCTCCATACTGTTCTCCATAGTGGCTGTACCAATTCACATTCCCACCAGCAGTGCAAGAGGGTTCCCTTTTCTCCACACCCTCTCCAGCATTTATTGTTTCTAGATTTTTTTGATGATGGCCATCCTGACCGGTGTGAGACGATATCTCACTGTAGTTTTGATTTGCATTTCTCTGATGATTAATGATGTTGAGCATTCTTTCATGTATTTGTTGGCAGTCTGTATAACTTCTTTGGAGAAATGTCTATTTAGGTCTTCTGCCCATTTTTGGATTGGGTTCTTTATTTTTTTGTTATTGAGCTGCATGAGCTGCTTGTAAATTTTGGAGATTAATCCTTTGTCAGTTGCTTCATTTGCAAATATTTTCTCCCATTCTGAGGGTTTCTGTTTTTGTGCCAGTACCATACTGTCTTGATTACTGTAGCTTTGTAGTGTAGTCTGAAGTCAGGGAGCCTGATTCCTCCAGCTCCGTTTTTCATTCTCAAGATTGCTTTGGCTATTCGGGGTCTTTTTTGTGTTTCTACAAATTGTGTAATTTTTTGTTCTAGCTCTGTGAAAAATGGCAGGCAGATTCTTAACCACTGAGCCACCAGGGAAGCCCCTTTTTTTTGTTGTTGTTATCTTATTAGATTGTATTCTTAAGTAACTTTTGGGGAGAAAATATCTATGTGGGTAAACTTTTTTTTTTTTTTTTTTTTTTGATACGCGGGCCTCTCACTGTTGTGGCTTCTCTTTCTTGCCGAGCACGGGCTTTAGGCACACAGGCTCAGTAGTAGCACACGGGCTTAGTTGCTCCGCGGCATGTGGGATCTTCCCGGACTCGTGTCCCCTGCATCAGTAGGCAAGCTCTCAACCACTGCACCACCAGGGAACCCCCGAGGGTAAACTTTTTAATACTTTATACGTTAGGAAATGTTTTTACCTGATTGAGAGTTTGAATTTCAAGTTTAAAATTATTTTTCCTTGTTCTGCTCAGCATCCATGACCTCCATTCAGTCTGAAGACTGGTATCTTTACCTGTTATGTCTTTGATTACTTCTTTTCCTTTCTGCAATTCCTGTTAATCAAATAGTAAAAATCCTCGATTCATCTTCTTTGTCTCTTAACATTTTTTCTTGTTTTCCCCACATCTTTGTCTTTTTCCCCTACTTGAGGCTTTCTCCTGAATTGTTTTAATTTTGGTAATCTTAATTTTAATTTCCAGGTATTTTTTAATTCTCTGATTGCTTTCTTTCCAAAGCAGCCTGTTGTTGTTTTATAGATGCATCTATCTTCTTGAACTTGTCTGAGAAAACTAATTAGAATTTTTAAAAATCCATCTTCTCTGAATTATAATTATCTCACTTTCCTGCTGGATCACTCCACCCACCTCCTGTTTTATTTTCATTTATTTATTTATTTATTTATTTTTATTGGAGTGTAGTTGCTTTACACTGCTGTGTCAGTTTCTGCTGTACGGCAAAGTGAATCAGCCATGCTTATACATATCTCCTCTTTTTTGGATTTCCTTCCCATTTAGGTCACCACAGAGCACTGAGTAAAGTTCCCTGTGCTATATAGTAGGTTCTCCTTAGTTATCTGTTTCATACATAGTAGTGTATATATGTCAATCCCAATCTCCCAATTCCTCCCACCCCCTCCCCCTTTCCCCCTTGGTATCCATATGTTTGTTCTCTACATCTGTGTCTCTGTTTCTGCTTTGCAAATAGGTTCATCTGTACCATTTTTATATATCCCACTTATATGCATTAATTTGTTTTTCTCTTTTTGCCTTACTTTGTATGACAGTCTCTAGGTCCATCCACGTCTCTGCAAATGGCACAATTTCGTTCCTTTTTACGGTTGAGTAATATTCCATTGTATATATGTACCACATCTTTATCCATTCCTCTGTTGATGGAAGCACATGCTTCCATGTCCTGGCTATTGTAAATAGTGCTACAATGAACATTGGGGTGCATGTGTCTTTTTGAATTATGGTTTTCTCTGGGTATATGCCCAGGAGTGGGACTGCTGGATCATATGGTAGTTCTATTTTTAGTTTTTTAAGGTACTGTTCTCCATAGTGGCTGTATCAATTCCCCTTTTAAAAAAATCCTTCTAATTTGTGTTTTGGCTTTCTAAAATGTTTGATGAACCATTACTCTCTGTACATATTTATGAATGAAGGTGTGATAGCTAATGGGGATTTCCTTTGCTTTTTTAGTCACTTTGGAATTCCATGGGAAGAATGGATTCTGTCTGACCTACACCCATGTTCCCCAAGTGTTGTGATCTGCTACTCTTTTGTCTGTAAATACTGTCCCATCCACTCTGTCTTGCAGAAACTAGTCAAATCTCTATCCTCTTGTTATCAGGGCTATCATGGCTTTCTTTTTTGTGTGCTTTTTTACTGTCATATAAATGAGATTTGAGGAAGAAAGAAAGTGTGTATACATAGTCTCACACTGAATTTTAACTGATGTTTATTACTGCTTATTCAGCTTCTGATTTACTGTGTTCTGCTTTAAACAGAAAAAGATAGACATTTAACTTTCCCAGAAAGTACTTGGGTGCCAAAAGCCTCAGATCTGCCCAACGTCTGGGTTTCACAGTTCTATTTGCTTTGCCCACTTCAGGCCTGATAATAGCTATGTAACTGCTCAGAAAGGCCAACGTCTGGGTTTCACAGTTCCATTTGCTTTGCCCACTTCAGGCCTGATAATAGCTATGTAATTGCTCGGAAAGGTAGAGTTAACTTCCTTCCTTAGCCCTGGTTTGGTGTGCTCTATCTACTTAACTTCTGTGTCCCTTTTTATTAGGAATAACTTGACTTTCTGTGCCTGTGTCTTTCTGGCACTCGTATTTATGTCACTTTTTAAAAAAAATAAATTTATTTATTTATTTTTGGCTGCGTTGGGTCTTTGTTGCTGCATGCGGGCTTTCTCTAGTTGTGGCGAGCTGGGGCTACTCTTTGTTGTGGTGCATCGGCTTCTCATTGCGGTGGCTTCTCTTATTGTGGAGCACAGGCTCTAGGCACACGGGCTTCAGTAGTTGTGGTACATGGGCTCAGTAGTTGTGGCTTGCGGGCTCTAGCACGCAGGCTCAGTAGTTGTGGTGCACGGGCTTAGTTGCTCTGTGCCATGTGGGATCTTCCCGGACCCGGGCACAAACCCATGTCCCCTGCATCAGCAGGCGGACTCAACCACTGCACCACCAGGGAAGCCCCTCACAGTGACTTTTTAATGAATTGTCACACCTGGCAGAGTAGGTGTGCCAGAGAAGTGTAAAGGGATCAGAGAAGTAAGTGTTGGGTCCAGAAGTTAAAGTCGGGCTTCAGGATGCAGTATTATTTGACTAGTATTATATACTAGTCTGCTGTTTTTTTTTTGTTTGTTTTTGGATAAAGAGGTTGGAGAAGGCTGAGAGAAAAGGGAGAAAGTGTTAAAATGTTAAGGGGAGCCACTAGTTTTTAAAAGTATAACCTTGGAAATTATAACCGCCATCTTTTCCCATTTAGGTGTTTACCCATAGTCAATATCAAAAGTCCAAAAGAATCTCCATCTTTCTGAGCATGCAAGATGAAATTGAGACAGAAGAGATCATCAAGGACATTTTCCAGCAAGGCAAAACCTGCTTTATCCCACGGTACCAGTTCCAGAGCAATCACATGGATATGGTGAAATTAGCGTCGCCTGAGGAAATCTCTTCACTTCCCAAAACATCCTGGAATATTCATCAGCCCAGTGAGGTCGAGGTTCGGGAGGAGGCCTTGTCCACAGGTGAGTGTTATGGTATTAGAATCCGCACCTTAGGATGCTCTCAGGCTGTGATGGGTTGTTAGACCTCTGATCCGCTTGTTATGGTTGGGTCAGTGGGGGTCACTTTTCCTACAGGGATGAATTTGTATTTCACTTATATTCCGAGACACCGACCTAACCTAGTTCAGGGTGCGATGCCCTCTGTAAGCCGTGAAGTGTCAACTGTAATAGTAAGGTATTAAGGTGTTGTTGCCTTTTTACAGACTCCTGCCCTGACCTTGTGGGTTGGATTATACATTTTCCCTGAATAATATTGCATTTCCCATGGTTTCAATTATGGTCTGTGTGGTAATGAGTACTTTATTATTAATGCTATAAGCATTTATATCTCCAGCTCAGACCCGTCAACTACTTGGGTGTCAAGTGGTCGTCTCCAACACAACATGTGCCAAACTGAATCATATTCCCTCATGCCCACTATCCTGTTTCTCTTAGTGTATAGTACCATCACCACCCAATTCACCATGCCAGAAGTCTCAAGATCATCCTTGACTCTTCTCTTTCCCTCATGTTCCATGTGTGCCCATTGCCGAGCCTGGTGATTTTACTTACTGAGTTATTTATTGAACCTGTCCGCTGCTCTCTAACCCCACTGCTACCACTGCAGTCTAAGCCACCATCTTCCCTTGCTCGGGTTCTTATAACAGCCTCCTAACTCTTCTTCCTCTCCTCCCTCTCCGTCTATTATCTATGTAGTAAATGAAACAAGATTTCCGAAATGCAAAGCTGCCCATTTCTCTCCCCTATTTGAAGTCTTTCAGTGACTTTCTGCTGCCCTTAGTTTGAAGCAGACATTCCTTAACAAGGCTCTTCGTGATTTGGCCTTGCTATTCTTTCCATTTTTACATCTTTCTACTCCCTCACTTTATAGTCTCAGTTTCAGCCACTCTGCATCTCTCCCAGTTTCCCAGCCCCATTTTTAAAAAATTGAAATATAGTTGATTGACAATATTGTGTTAGCTTCAGGTGTATAGCAAAATGATTCAGTCATATATATATGTATATTTTCCATTGTAGGTTATTATAAGATATTAAATATAGTTCCCTGTGCTGTACAGTAAATCCTCATTGCTTATCTCTTTTATACATTGTAATTTGTGTCTGTTAATCCCATACACCTAATTTATCCGCCTTGGTAACTGTAAGTTTGTTTTCTATGTCTGTGAGTCTGTTTCTGTTTTGTATGTAGATTCATCTGTATTATTTTTTTAGATTCCATATACAATGACATCATATAATATTTGATATTATATCCATCCATGTTGCCACAAATAGCAATGTTTCATTCTTTTTTATGGCCAAGTAGTATTCCATTGTGTGTGTGTGTGTGTGTGTGTGTGTGTGTGTGAGTGTGTGTGTGTCTGTACACACACGTACACCACATCTTCTTAAACCAATCACCTGTTGATGAGCCCTTGGGTTGTTTTTATGTCTTGGCTATTGCAGATAGTTTCTGTGAACACTGGAGTGTATGTATCTTTTCAAATTAGGCCAACCCCATTTTGCTTTTTCTACTGCTGGACCTTTATACGTGCTATTCCCTGGCCAACAGCCACTTGGGAGATTTAATCATTATCAAGCAGTCAAAGAGCTGGAAGCAAAACAAGCTAAGGGTACTATTTTGTACTACAATGCCTCAAACCTGTCTTAGAGGTATGTATTTTTGATTAAGACTTAAATAGTTGCAAAGAAGTCCCAGTGAAGCTTTATGCAATCTTCTCTCAATTTCTGTTCCTTTTCATTGTTACAACATAACCTATAAAATCAATATGACAACATGGGAAGGGACAGAGTCAAGGTCCCATGGTAGTAGGGGGATTATTTACTTTGCTGCTTTTTCTCCTATATTACACAGTCCTGTGCTTTGCTAGATGTTTAGACACCAAAAGTACACTCAGATCTACCTCCTAGACCAGATGAATGCCAACATTATAAAAATTTTAAGACAATGAAACATAAGGGAATGTAGTGTATCTTGGGAGGCAGCCCAGGCTTCTAGATAAGGAAAGATAGGAATTGTAGGCTCTGGCATTGCTCACACTTCATCAGCTACTTCTCCAGACTCACGGGCTTAATGGTGGAGCCCAGGGCCCTTTCCTAATTCTGATCGACCATATTAACATCTCCGTCCATGCTTGCATCACTCTGTGATGTCCCGGCTAATTGAAATGCTACTTGGTATCCTCCAGTAACCAGTTTCTCCAGAGGCAGCCCATTGTCTTTGTAGAACAACTCTGCTCCTTGTAGAATATATTCCTTTGGTTGAGCTAAAATGTGTCACCCTGAACCTTCATGCATTAGTTCTGTTTCTGTTTAAGTACGATAGCGGGGAAGAGTAAGGAGGAAGCATGATCTTTCCTCTTAATTTAGCTCTACTTCCTGGTTAGGATAAACTCAGTTCATACAAGTGAGCTAAATCATTTATATATAGGTTTTAGCACGTCATTTGGCACATAGGAGCTATTCAGTGAATGGTAACTATTATTAATTTTAAACAAGGAAGGCAGGATTATTCATTATGCAGTCAACTCAAACATTTTCTGAACATCTACTTTGTATCAGACACTCAATTAGCTCTGGAAAGATAAGGTCCTGGACTTCAAGACGCTCACACTCTAGCTGGGGAGACAGAAAACATATGTAAGTAGAATGACTATCCCAGCCTGTTGTATATATCAAATATAAGTCAAATGAAAAGAATATTAAGAATATAGGAGTTCAGGGTTTGGCCCTGAATAGAAAAAAGTTCACTCACAAAACTGCTTGTTCATTTTTTTTCTCCTCCGTACCATTTATTCATGCTGTATTTGTGGGACAGGTTGCTTTTTCTCTCCATGTGTTTTTCTTTGCAGATGCTTGCAATTGGCATTGCAAAGGGTTAGGGAATTATACCTGTAGTTTCTTGCAATTGCAGCCTGGGAGCTAATGCTCTTTGCTGTTGTTTATAGAATGTTCGATTTGCAGTCTCTGCTGTTTGTTATCTCCCAGCATCACATTCTGCACCGTGGATTTTTGCTCACATCAGCAGTTTAGAATGTGGCATCTTCAGTGCTACAGCATAAATCTAGCTTCATAGTGTTTGTGACAAGCTGACTAGAGCTCAGATTGTCCCCAGTATAGCTTATGTAGCCTGCTTATCTTTCGGGTTCACTCACGTTATGGCAGGTTAGAAAAAAGTGAGCTCTGGTGTCCTCAGTTGCAATTATAAGTTCCTAAGCAAAAATTTCACACGGGCTATTTTTGTATTATGTATATAGCAAAATAACAGAAGGGTAAAAGAAGTGGAGGGGCAGCCTCTTTACTGCATTTGTTCTTAAAGTGAGGGCTGCTTGGGTAATTAGATTAACCAGCAATCTTTCCACTGAAAGGAATTCAACATGGCTTAAGCAAAAATAGGATTTTATTGGCCCAGAGACTGAAAAATCCACAGAAGGGCTAGCTTTAGATATGGCCAGATCAGAGTCATTAGGATCTACTCTATCTCTGCCTTTTGACTCCACTTTCATCTATATTGACTTCATTTCTTGGTGCCACAGGTGGCCATGGTAGTTCCAGGTTCCACAGCATCCTTACCGCTAGCAGTCCCAGCAGAAAAGAGCAAGTCTGTTTTCTAATGGTCCCAGTAAAGTCCTGGTCTTAACTCTTACTGACCCGAATTGGGTCAAGTGGCCATCCTGAAATCAATCACTGTGGCCAAGGACATGGACGAGGCTGAGTGACCTAGGCCTGGGTCTTACTTGTCCATCCCTGAGCCACGCACTGTAACCAGGGAGAAAGGATGTGTTGACTGACTGGACACGGTTCTGTGCCCACCTGTGCAGCGCTACCCAAACCACTGAGCTGAGAGTGGGCGGGGAGCAGTCCACCACAGGAAAAAGAAGTACTGTTTCCAGAGCAAGGGCAGTGGGTCCTGGACAGTCCAAAATCACATTCACCTGTGCTGCCAATCACTTCTGAAATTCTGTAGAATATAACAGGCTCTTTGCAGTCATAACTTTGTCAGAGCTGATTTTTTATTTTTGATCTTTCTGGAAGCTCTTTAGGAATTCATACCTATGTGTGGGTGCCTGACACATAACTCAAATAAATAACTGATCATAATGAAGACTTTCTAGTCCTCAGCCAAAACATTTTCAAGTGACTGAATGGGGCAGTGTCAAGGACAGAATCTTTGAACCTGACACGTGTAACATCCCTCTAGGTTGTTCGTGATCAGTACTTTTGGGAGTGTTAGGATTGGTTTATTGAAGTCATTCCCATTAAATTGAGCTCCTTTCTTTCTTCAGTAGGGTTGCATGGCACGTGCAAGAATATAGTAAAGAGAGTGGGTATGAATTTCATCAAGGCATTTGGCAGAGTCGTGATATCCTTGACGATAGGGTGGAGAAATTTGGGTTGGATCGTAATAATTTATTCAGAAGATATTTCGTGAGTGCTCGTCTGTGGGAGGAGTAATGGGGGATGCAGTGGGGAACAGAGTGGACCTGGTCCCTGCAGTTGTGGAGTTAACCAACCTGTTGTCCTCTGGAGGCAGGTTTGTGCCAGCATATCACAGGGCTCTCTCCTTTGTGCTGTCCTGTTCAGCTTTTTGTTGCCATTTAGATGTCCCACTATCCCTGGATTTCATCATGTCAAAATTCATTCTTAACGTTCTCTTTGTGTTTTTCACATTTCTGTTAGTAGCCAGTTTGTAAACATAGACTTATTCTTGTCTCTTTCCTACCCATCCAGTTATCAAGTATTACCAGGTTTTTCTTTGTAATATTTTTATCACCTGTCTTTCTCTAATTCCAGTTTTGGAGGATTCTTTGTCTACAGTTTTGATTCTTCATATCTGTTCCATTGGAATACACTTCCAGTTGGTTTTCTGGCCATATTGCCTTTCCTAAAGTACCTCTTTTTTTACAGGCCATCTACCCTGTTCAAGCCTTTCCCGGTACCCAGCATAGATCTGTGTGCCT